TCATAAAATCATAACAGATACTTATTAGAGAGTCTCCTTTACATAGACCACAATAATAAAAGAATAGTTCACGAATTTTTAGATGTCTAGAGTGAACTTTCTTATTATTTATTACTTTTTTTTATAAATATCCATTCTCATACATATCTCTGACAAAGTTACGTTGGTTATTTTTGTATTATTATTCAACTTTCAAATCAATGCTCTGTAAAACCTCTCTCTATACTAATATTGAGGAAAAAGAAGGTTATTTTTTCATTAATTGGAAAATATTTCAAATTTAGCAACGTAACTCTGTTATTCTGGAATTAAAATTAAAATGTTTTTGGTCGCAAAACGAGTTAGAATTAAGGCTAGACATCTAAATTTAGCATGAGTATAAGCTCGGAAGGCAGCTCAAAAGAGTCTAAAAACATGACCATAATAATACTATCAAGGAAATAACAAGTCAATTAATTACCCATGGCAGGGGAAGTTATTGCGTCAATCCTTTTTAATTGTATCATAGGCAATAAAATAAAATAGTGATTATTATTACTTATAGTTGCAGTATTATTTATCGTAGTATAGAAATATAGAAAACAGCTACTGATTTCTTCCTATTTGGTATTGGCTTTGTACTTTGTAAACAGTGTACGAATAAAGAAAATTGCTATGGAGTAGTGTCTAAATGATCATCGAAACACTTACCCAGTATATTCTTTTTTGGAAAATAAAACTTCGAAAATTTTATATTCTTCTATTCATTATTTATTATAGATTTTAGATTATATTGATAATTATGGATTATGGATTTATAAATTTATTCTTAATCTTAATCTTACTCGATTTGATTATAGATTATAGAGTAGGGCCTATTCTCCTTTTTATCGAATTTGCACCTTATAAATAATTTTTCCAAAAAAAAAAATAAATAAATAAATATTGATAAACATTACATCATGAGAAACGATTACCTCATTTTTACTCATAAAATGTATTAATAAAATATTATTAATTCGTGAACGTGAAAATAGTTTTTATTATATAATATTATGGATAATAACAAGAAAAACATTAATTATTAATTAAATAATATCATATTGTAATTTATACATAATTATTAAATAAAAATTATAAAATGAGAACTAAAAGATAACATTCGTAATTTGTAATAACGAAAAAAAAATTGAAAAGAAATTATGAAATTAAATATGAAAAAAAAAAAATTATTTTAGATTGAGAAAAAAGAATTCACTATGAATGAAATGAATAAAAATTATTTTAGAACGAGAAAAAAAAATTAATTTAAATAAACCTTGCGGTTTTGTAAAATTTGCAAAAAAAAAAAAAAAAAATGCCCGCAAAACTCAATACGATTTGTTATGTACATAATATTGCTGAACGTTTAACACAAGAAATCAATAACATCTCTTCCAGAATGTGGAATACGTTACTACAACATCATTCACAATTCATACTCCATCCTACAATAGACACCTTGCTGCCCATATCGTTGGATTTAAAGAAAACTGCTCAACAAATCAACACATCTACATATATGCAACATGCTCCAAACAATTTCTTACTATCACAAGCATCTGATTTCATAAATTCTGAACAATGGGATCCCACACAATCACGCCACATGTTCAAATCAAAAACAAACCTAACATCCTTCGTCCAGGAGCATGAGTAATGTACCTCAACCATTTCCTAATAGAATACGGTATATGCAACGGTACTATAGGAATAAACACTGATATAAATCATACAGAACAATATGTTCGAGTCGCATTCTCTGTCAGAAGATCGATAATTGAAGTAAATATTTACAAACACACCCACTATTTTACCATCAACGGAAATAGTTCCAGTTTCTGATCCAAAACTGTTTCGCCCTAACCATTCACAAAACACAAGGATTAACCTTGCTAAAAGTCTCCCTCGCTCTAGATGGAAACATCTTCTCCCCAGGACAAGCTCACGTCGCCCTCAGTAGGTGGTCTACTTGGGATAATATCAATATATCCCACCTTGACAGATCAGCCTTCATGACCGACCCTAACATTGTTCTAGAATACCAAAGATTAGAACAAATGGTATCGAACAACTCAACAACCCACATATCTTTTCATAAAATACATACACAAAAAATACACCAAAACAATCTTATACCATTAATATTATCATCATTTAAAAAATACATTTTATCGTCTTTTGTTCTTTTGGTACAGATTACTAATAAATAATTCAATAAAATTTTATTTTCAAAAAGAAAAAGAAAAAATTATTCCCATGATTTTTTTACTTTACTAAACAACAAGAAACTCGTATATCCAGATTAATCCCGTTATGTAGTACAGGCCACTGAAACTGACCTAAAACCAATCACATACAAGTGGTGGCTACTCTAAAATATACTGGCTAGTTTGATACTTTGTATTATTATGTGGCACATGAATTCGGCTGATAAATTTTATTACGTCATATTTGACATGGTTCACGTATTTAGTTGCAAGAAATTTATACTTTGCTAATTAATTACGTCAATTCAGCGATAAATTACGTCAAACGGAGTTTACAATTTATGAAATAATGACAATATAATCAATTCTTCAAAATTAGATCATTACGTCAAATTTGTCAATATAATTACGAACAAAAGTTATAAAAGGGAAACACAAAAAAAAAATTTAAAATTTGGGAAAAAAATTAAAAATGTCTCAATTACCACTTGTTGCTTCGGCGATTTCATCAATAATCGAAAGTCCAGTAAAAACGTATGATGAGTGCATAGCAAATGGTTTAAAAATTGATCCATCTCAAATTTTAGATCTTGATACCATTTATAAAAGATCTTTAACACGTATTAATGAAGAAGTATTAGAATTTGTTCCTCCTGAAAATATGACTACTCGTGATAGTAGCGAACAAATTCAAATTTTTGTCATACCTCTCGAATCTCACGTTGTGGAAAGTCAATCAATGTTTGTTGATCCAAGTATCACTGTCCTTGAGTTCAAAAAAGCTATTTGTGCAAAGTTTGAATATAATATTGAAACGATACGGCTTATATTTCGTTGTCAGCAATTGGATGATCGGAAAACTCTAGCATCTTACGAAATCCAAAAAGGTCGCACAATACAAGTTCTATCTCGAGTCATTGGAGGTTCTGGCTTCTATGTTATTAAAAGTGATTTATTAGATCCATCATATGATTATGACTTCACATATTTAAAAGATAACGGAACAACTTTCCTTCGTGGAAAGGAATTGTACAAACGACCTTATGGATGGATGAGAATTGCGCTCAATGTTAGAAAGTATGGGAACAATAATACATGGTTGGGTCATGTTGGTAACAGTCCTCATGAATGGCCAGTTTCTTATCATGGAACTAAAAAAGAATTTGCTGAATCCATTGCTAATGAGGGTTATCTGGTTAGCAAAGGAAAGCGCTTCCTATTTGGGAAAGGAATATATTCATCTCCTGATATTGGAATTGCTGAAAGATATGCTGGAGAATTTGATCATAATAATGTTAAATATTTGGTTATTTTTCAGAATAGAGTTAACCCTGCAGGATTTCAGAGACATCTTAATGATAAATATTGGGTTACGCCAAAAGATGAGGATATTAGACCATATGGGTTGTGCTTTAAAAGAATCGGGTTAATACAATGTTCAACGAACTAATAAATTATTAAATACATAAATTGATGGGTAACATAAAGCAAGAGAATAGACATAAATTTAAACATGCTAATTTTGTTTTAAACAGTTCTATTTAGGTAGGTTGATTAACATTTATAAGAAATTATTAAAATATCCAAGTAGTTAACAAACGTTTGCATTAATCTATAATTTGTTGATCTGAATCCATTGAAACTATTGTATTTGCCAATGAATAACCCTTTCATTTCACGTACTGTTAAAGGAAAGTTATTTTGGACAAGAAATTTAGAACTTGATGTTGGCCATCCATTAAGGCGTGAGTTTAGTCCAGTTCCATACACCACCTGTAGTTTGAAGTTACTTTATTTTTCGAATTTAAAATGTTATTCAAGTGTTTTATGACATAATTATATGGCAATTTGCAAACGAACTTATTTTTTGAAGATTTTTTTTTTTTTTAAAAAAAAAGACCCTTGATATGATGGGTCTTGACATTAAATTTAGCATTACGCTTTTATAATACAGTACATCGACTCGAAAATGACTTTCCTCATATATGAATTTTTTGCAGTTGATTCACGCACAATTCATTTAAAATTATTTTGAGTTTTTTTATTTTATTTATTAAAATAATGCTACATGGAAATATGATTGTGATCCAGTAGATAAAATCATTATGAACATAGGATTTCTATTAAGTTCTCATAGATAAAGTCTATCTTTTTCAGTTTTATGTAACCGTATTCAGGAGACGTGATGATTTTAATTAAAAATAGGTATATAATGATAACCGGGCATGCAGATATAAATAGAATGTTATATATATTTTTTGCCGTTCGTTATTTCTACCCCATTTGAAATAAAAATTAAATAAATTACCGTATTAAGTACTCTGTTGAGTAACATGTAATTATTTTATTATTCATTATTTATTGTCTGGAACGTCGGAACGATACTAAAAATTTTAGTCACGTGAGTAGTAAAAGGAGGTCTGTCCAAGCCAATCACGTACTATTTGTAGCTCCGGACTCTAAACACTTTCCGTCTTTCTGTTTCTAGTTAATATCTATCTAATTAAAAAAAATTTGGTCATATTTAGATTAACCTGTTTAAATTAATTTGAATTGTGTAATGTGTAGTATACGAATTGAGAATTTTTTGATCGCAGATTGTGAAATAACCATATCACTTACAAACAAGTAGAAAATATTATAAATTTTTTATTGACACAAAAGGACGTTTTTAATTATTTAATTTAATATTTCTTTTTCGTCCAAAATATTGATTTTAAATCACTTAATTTAATTTTCTTCGTTTTCTTTATAACTTGAAAAACTTCAAAATCATCCAACATCAAAGGTTCCTATCGGTATACCATCAAGTTTGGGATAAGAACATGGATTATCATCAGGATAACTTGTCCAAGTACCATCATTATGTAAATATAAGTTATTATAACCAAATATTTGACCGAAATATGGATAACAAACTATATAATATTTATTACCATTACTATAACCTACTTTTTCCGTTTGGACGTTCTTTTTATTTGTAAATGAGAATAAAAAACTATCTTTCGTGCGTTTAAAAGAACCATTTGTTGAATCCCATTCAAGTGGATTATATCCTCCAATTATTCCTTCAGAATTTTTAATTTTTAATACAATTATAGTAGCCCCCCTATTATCACATTTTTTATGAAATTCTTTGGCTGTATTACCATCTCTGCTAGCTCTATATAAAAGATTAAATTTATAAAGACTAAATTTTCTTTCCCCATTTCTATCAATCCAATTTGTAAGTAGGTTAACATGTCTTTGATCAATTATCACGGAATTAATATCTTTTAAATATCTTGATGCTAAATTATTAAGTTTTGGCTTGTATTCAGGAATCATGTAATAATTCAAAAGATCATTTCTATATTCCTTTGATAAAATTTCTTCATAAGGTTTAATTTTGATCATATAATCCTTAGGAGATATATCATAAAATCTAATTAAAGGAATAAACCTACAAATAATCCTTTTAAAGGTCATAATATCATCTTGATTCCATTGAGATACATCTCTACTAAAATTATGTTCTTGTGCCAATCCCCATTTAACTATATTTTCCCAAATTTCAATTTCATCTATATTCAAATCTTCACGTTTTAAAATGATTTCCAATAATTGAGCGGATAGTTGAGTGAATTTATTTGAATTAAAAAAATTTTCTGGTTCAAGACAAATTGTTTCCAAACAAAGATCTCGTAAATTAATGAGAGATTCGTAATAAAAAACAGTTTGAAGAGCTTCAACCGGATCATTTTGTAATAATTGACGATGTTCAACAATATAATCTTTAGTAAGCCTAGTTAAATTTTCTAAATTTAATTCATCTGAAGCGATTATAATATTTAAAAGTTCGGTTCCAATTTTGTCTGTGATATCAACATAACCAACATAAAGATATCTAAAAAAAAAAATTGAAAATAAATGAAATATATTTGTAAAAATTGTATATTATTTAATATAACTTACTTAAGAATAACGTCAAAAACTTGAGGAGAAATGTTCGGTTTATAAATTACATATTTTTCATCTTTTTTCTCAATATTTTTATCTGAAATTATATTATCGAAATATTTTGGATCTACATCGTAAGATATTAGAATGAGCGTGATATTCCTTAGAATCATGTTTTTTTCCAGCGTAAATAATAACATTATAATCCGTTTCAGTTTTAAGTAGCTGTTCGAGCGCTTTAGTTATTTCAGTTTCGAAATGATATGTCATTTTATCAGTATTTATACGTTTATAATTATAAATTTTTTGATATTTTATTAAGGAAAAGAGAAAGATTTAACGTAAGGATATTATTTTAAGTCTTTTATATTTAATTTTCTTTTCATAAAAGCTCCATTAACTCCCATATAAGAATATATTAGGGGTTTTTTTATAGAACGGAAATCATCTCCGATTTCTTTCATATAATTGCATGAAAATTTCATTATAATGCAAATTTTAGCTATTTACGATAATCTATGTGATAAATTTCTTTGGAATTTCTTTTTTGGTAAAAAAAATTTCCATTTTTTCTTTATGTTCTGTATATTCATTAAGCACAAATACAGATTTTTTGGAAACTTTTTGCAAAACTTTCTCCTGCGCCTCAGAAAATAATACTTTTTGTCGATCCAAATCCTCAGCTTGCTTTATTTTCCTTGTAAATATTAAATCCCGTAACTTTTTTAAAAATTATCCATTACTACATATGTTAATAAATATTCTCAAATTATAAAGGCAAAATAGAGTTTTGTCCACAAAGTGAAGGGACTGCCAAAGATGTAAAGTAATACCCCCAGTGAGTTGTTTCCGATCATAATAGTTACCAAATTAATGTAATGCTCTGAGCGTCTTGCCGCTCAACCACGCTAGTTAAATAAGGAGGTCCTAGGAACCTGGGTTCATAGGTATATAAAAACAAATCTCCATGATTTTTTGAGGAACGAGGAAAATTATGGAGGGTAGTGGACAAGAGTTAGTTAATATGTATCAGGAAAAAATAGCTAGAAAAGATGAACAATTAATACGTGGCGAAGATAACAGACATTGGACGACAGAGAGGTAACAGAGGTAAAGAATGAGCATACCGTTACTTGCGATTATAATGATATATAATATGACAAGATGGAACCAACGGCAAAACTATTTTCCGAAAAATCGTTTCTTTGGGAAACGATCAGAGACACGTGATTTTACACAAAAAGTATATATCTCAAAATACATTAAGATAGAAAAATTCAAAGGGAGAATGTCAACTACTTCTTGAAAAATGTAAAGATTATTTGGAGCTGAAAAACGAGCGTATGTGGTCAAGAATGAGTAATCAAGTATAGTTACAGAAAAATTAGTCACAGTTACTGATCTGGGATTCTATTTTTTAAATCAATAACGAAGCATCACTTAATTCCATTTCCTATTATTTTCATAATCGAATTCTGGTATTTGCATTAATATGAACCACTTTCACCTAATAATAACAAAAATGGTGATATCTTTCGTTAAAATAGCTATTATACACAAATAAAACCATTGCATTCGGGATAAAAAATTACTTTTATTCGTTTCATTAAATACAATCAGTAAAATTAGTAATAATAAAAGAGTAACTGATGGAAAACGCAGGAGTGACAAATAGGACATATGACTAATATGCAGTAATATTGTTAACACGTGAATTAATACGTATCAGTCTCAATAAAAGTTTTGATACTGGGTCATATCAAAGCGTCATAAGCCTGTGATACATGCGGAAAATAAAATTAAAATCATTAAAATCATAGCAATGACACGAACCTACATATATTTGATCTGCAGTAGTCAAAATATAATCAATACAAAAAGTTTATGATTTATCAATGAAAAAATTCCTCATAAACTGTTCCTTTTGTTTCTTCTTTCTGCAAAAAAATATTTTTACATTTATTATTTCGTATCATGTCTATTACCGTTGCCAAGATCGATACTAGAAGCGTCAATATGACAGGTTTGTGACCTTGTGTGACAAAAGATCTAATTTTGTATTTATTCTAACTATTACTGACAATATAGTTGAAGTACGAAGCAACAGTCTTAATTCCTCAGCCGATTTTGATAAAATCTCAAAGGATATGGAAGAAAGAGAATACGTTGAAAATAAGAATGGTAATATAAACATTGGTAATTATTTGTAACATTAATTTTTATTATTAATATTATGACTATTCTATTACAAGGTAATATCGTTCCTTACATAACTAAAGAAAACGCGTGTGAAATTCACCAAATTTTAAATGATCCGAATGTATTGGATATGTTTTTTGGCAGTGAAGAACCACCATATGTTAAACAAAACTTGTACATTGTAGTGAACGAAATGCCAGAAATAAAGTTGCAAAGTTTGGGAAAATTTATGATAAAATATATTGAGTGGGGGACTTTTACGGAAAACTTACCTCTAAACGATCCACCACAGGAAGCACTCTCCTCTAAAGATATAGAAAAATTTAACAATATATTAGATACCGAACTTGGGGATGACTTTCGTTCAAAACACCATAACCTTATTGCTATTAGTTTATATTGGAAAATTAGAAATGAACTTTACGAGAATGTACCTGCTATCGTATTTTATGTAATACGTAAGAATATTTTACCTCATAATAACTCTCTTTTTCCTGAAAATATTGGCGGTTTTATTACAGATGTATGTGAAGGTTTTTATAAACCAACCGTTGTTGAACGAGGGGAAATCGATTGTTGTGAATATAAGGAAATGGTATCACCTGGATCTAGTATTGGCGTAAAAAGTAGAGTAGGAACTTTAGGATTTTTCGTTAAAGACTCCAACCAGCAAATATATTTGATGACAAACGAACATGTTGTTTCAGGACACAATTCTGAATATATACACCAACCATCTGACTTTGACTACATTGGTCGTTCATTGGATGATCTGGCATCATCATTAGAAACATTAGAGGGATTGATCTTTAAAGATAAACAAATAAACGATTCTGAGAAAAAACTTACTATTATTGAATCGTTCAATCTGAAGAATGTAATGAACGAAGAGCATGGTCACTCAGCCTTGACAGAAGATATGGAAGAATTAAAAAGATTAGAATCAGTAATCTCAGTCTTGAAAGAAGTTATAGTTGAGGAAGATGGAAATAATGTAAAACATCAGGATTTATTGAGAATGCATGAAGCTTTCAACAAATTATTGATGTTTAGAACAGAAAATAAGTTAGAAAACGAAAAAAAAAAGGAGTTACAAGTAGAACTAGAAAAATTAAAGGCATTACAAATAATGCTTAAACTGCATAGACTCGAATGTGAATTCAACAAAACAAAAAAGGAATGGAATGAAATTTCAAACATTGATTATGAATTTTTCAAGAACAAATTGTCTAAAAAACTTAAATTTCTGGATTCAAGATATCAGACATGTATAGAAAATAAAAAAAAATTCGAATCTGCGCAACAAACAGATACTAGATTTGCTATAATTGAAAAAGGCGTACGTGGTAATTATGAATTTGGTCAATATAAGTATGGTGTTGATGCCGCCATTGCCCTCGTACTAACCGATAAGCGAGAATTAAACCCAAGTAAATTTGCTATTAGAAATAGTTCGTTCAACATTTATAATATCCCTAACATACGTCTTACTGGTTTAAAGAAGAATATTAATGATATTGCATCTAGACGTATATTTAAGGTTGGACGTACAACTGGATTGACCGAAGGAGTGATTAAAGAAGTTCCTGTCTCAGTTAATACTGGAAACATGATGAGACGCCAAGTTGGAATTTTCCATGATGTTTTAATGGAGGGCGACAAAAACAAAGATATATGGCTTGACAGACAAATATTGGTAAAGGCTATAAAAGGCACATTCATAAATTTCATGAGTAAAGGAGATTCAGGATGTGCATGGTTCGATATTGATGGGAATGTCATAGCATTAGGTCATGGGTCAATAATAATAAGAGGGGTGGATTATTGTGTGGGCTCACCAATTAACGTGGTTCTTAAGGCTTTCCATCCTTTGGAACTTTCATTAGTAGTATGAGTTTATTATTTTATGATATTGACATGTATAATCATCACCTAGAATTATAAACAAAATAGAAATATATGCGTATGATAAAAATCAAAGAATAAATGTAAAGATCGCGAGATGCGATAGTTTTATATACTGCTTTATAATAAATATATTGTATTACCATATGGGCGGATTTGCGGAATTAAGAAAAAAAAATATATATATTTTTTTTTAAATTATTTTATTTATAAAATGCAATTTAAAGTTACAGTGATTTCCGTTCCGTACATTGGCAATCCCATACAACTTTTGTATTATTCAGGAAAATACCCTGAGATATTTAAATAGCCATCTCCGTTTAAATATCATGACATTTACGATATTTTTGACAAGAGTGTTCGGAATGTGTAATATGGTGTACCGTTTGGACCAAAAGTGACAAAATTATGAAAATCGAAATTTTGAAATTTTGAAATTTCCATTTTCGAAATTTCCTTTTATGTGAAATTCTCTTTAATGGTATGAATCGACGGTACACAAATTCCAGAATTAGAAATTTTGTACACCTAATTTCCTGTTTTGGAAATTTGTGTAACGTCGATCTATACCATTAAAGGGAATTTCACATAAAAGGAAATTTCGAAAATGGAAATTTCAAAATTTCAAAATTTGCTTTTCGAAATTTCAGCTTTCAAGATTTCAAAATTTTGATTTTCGAAATTTCAGTTTTCAAAATTTCAAAACTTGCCGAAAAGAAGACCAAATTTTCAATTTGGAGATGACGTAAATTATTTTGAGACCATACTATGTCAAAGTTCAATCTTCATATATTCAATATTATCTTATTAACTTATTTTTGATAAAAGGTATTGTAATTTCCTTAAAAATTTCAAAAAACTAAAATTGGAAATTCCTCAGAAAAAAATGCTAGAACCATGATTTTGATATTGCTCACAGTCTTCTAGAAGCTTGCTACTCTTCTTGATTTGTAATAATCGGTATGATAGTCTGTTGCTCTCCAATTCGAAAGATATTGTAGCTGATACTTTTACTAAACAAATAATTCATTCTTTTTTTATATATAGTGAATTATCTTGATATTATTTAGGAAAATACAGGGTTTTCTTGCGATAAACTGTTCAGATATAATTGCATTATCTTCTAAGACAAACCCAAACGTTATAACATCAGTGTTAATTTGGAACTTTTAATATTACGATTGATGAAAATGATCATGCACTTTCATATAATATGCAAATACTTAAATTATAGATAATTAGTAAATTACATCAATCGTAATAATTTTTGGTGGTGATACAAGACTTTGTTGTAAAAGTTTTTTATAATACGAGATTGAGTTAAATCATTTTATGTGCGGTACAGTGTCCAAAATGTTTAGAGAATCGACTTTAAATTCAAACAAAAAAAATCTAAATTGAAAGTTCGTTAGCGTAAATTAGGTTTTAACGAAAAGTAAAATAAATAAATAAATAAATTTTGGAAAAAAAAAATTTTTTTTTGTCCAAAAAAAATGAGTCGTGACTCGTGATTATAAACTTACAATTAAATTTCTTATTTAACAATGATTTATTTATAGAATAATAAAGTTCAATTTGGTAATATATTTATATTTTAAAATAGTTAAAAATAATCTAATTTTATCATTTTGCTGCGCCATCATTTATTTCTCGAAAAACTTATATCCTTCCATTTCAAATTCCAACTAATCTAAATTCCGCACTATTTGGGTTCAAATTACCAAAAGTAGCGATGTTAATAGCTGATCAGCCGTCTCAGAAAGTTTATTTTATTTGTGTATGAAAAAGTTTGTAAATCATATGAAGCATAATAATATATTATACATTCGGAAATCGGAATCATTAGAAGTATTCAGTAGGACAAACCAGCCGTTTGATTTCAATATTGTTTCACATTACAAGTTTTGCATGTGCAAAAGAATTTGTAAATCGGACAAAAAATTCCATCTATCAATATTTACAAATGGAAAAAAAATAAAGATACGAAAAGAGAAAAAATATTCAATAATATAGTCGATTTAATCAATGTTTATTAAAAATAAAATCCGCAAGAAAATTGCCAAGATTTTTATTTTTCTTACTATTAGTACTTTAGAAAAAATTTACTGCGACGAGTAAATTTGTGTAACGATACCAAGTCCTTCCATGGTGAACAATTTTTGAACTTTGGAAGAGACTTTTGAAACGAATAAAGCAATAATTTAATTAATTTATGCATGCATTAAGATTATATTGATATAATAAATATTATTTCCAAGAAATATTCTTTTTCTAAATCGAATTTATTTGTTCTTTTTTGAAACTCATAAAAGGAAATACATTGCGACAATGCCAATTCCTTAAGAAGACATACACATTGATCAATATGATCGTCAAAAAACAATTTACTTTTAGCCTAATCTAAAATTAGAAAATTATGAACATCGAAAAAACGCCACATTATGTAATACAGTAAAAAAGTAACTTATTGTAACAATGATTTTTTTGGAAATCTAAAAATAATCCTTTCAAAATCAACGAAGAAAAAAAAAAATTATATATATAAAGCGATGGATTTCGAAAAGATTTTTTGGTTCAGAAAACATTCATTAGATAAATATAAGATTTTGCATACAATTTACATAAACATAGATATTATACATATATTAGAAAATATAGATTTCAATAATTCATAAACGTGTACATATTTCATATTATACATTTATTCATTTTTTTTTTAATACTTCATAAACATACATAGACTAAATTTAAAAAATTACCGTACGAAAATGTCATTAGAATCTCAATCTAGAATTTTCACAAAATCAAATCTGGTTTATATACCTTTGTCTATAACAACCGCCCATACATTAAATTTCATCATTAATTCACCTTTATCAACATGGCAACAATTTCCACCAAAATTACCTGATTCAATTTATTTATCAATATGGTTTATTCCATTGTTATTATTCATATCACTTACATTTGAACCAATTAGAACAAGAAAACGTTTTTACACTTTATTATCTCTAGCGCTTATATATTTATCAATCCCAATTAGTTTTCGTAAGGGAAATTATCCGATTAAACTTCAAAATGATTTGGTTGGTCGTAGTGCAGTTTTCGGGATGAAAATGTTATTATTCTTAAAATTAAATAGATCATACAATAATCCTAAAAATCAAAAAGAATTCAAATCATATCTTTGGTCATTATTTAATTGGCGTTTTGATTCTTATATAATTTCTCCAAAATCGGATGATCCTTTGATTATTAAATCTCCTACAACTTCACAAATTAACGGAAAGTTGATCAGCCGCTTCATAATTGCTTTTGTAAAATGGTTAATTTATGAACTTATAAGTTTCTTTTCACATAAGTATGTAGTAGAAATACCAGAAAAGGCTTATCAAGTTCGCTTAATTGAATTTATTACAAAAGGAATCCCTGCCATTACAATGTCTTCAATTTCACATTACTTGAATATCACTTTATCTATATACTTGTTGCTTTCATTACTTTATGATGTTTTCACTATTACTAACACAATTTTCTTTCGTCTTTTCTTTCATTCCACATCGGAAAATAACAATCACAAATCTATTTTAATTAAATCCGGTTTTCTTACTCCTTCAGAATACGTTTCTTTAAAAGAATGGATGATTACATTCGTATTCAATACAAAACATTTATTTAACGAGCCATGGATAGCATCAAGTCCTCGTGATTTTTGGTCCACTCGTTGGCAATTAATGTTTAGCGAAATTTTTAAAGAATTAGGTTACTTACCTGTTAGAAATTTTCTCTCTTCATTCGTTCCAAGGAAATTTGCAAATATGATGGGTGTACTTGGTGCTTTATGTTTTAGTAGTTTATTTCATGAATACCTTATTATTGGACAATTTAATATTTGGACGGGTGAACATTTCTTTTTCTTTATGATTCATGGAGTTATAATGATTTTATGGGAAGCTGTGTTTGGTTATGAGAAAAAAAATGAGATTACAAAGTGTAAAAGATTTTTAAAATGGGTTTTGTTATTAATTATTAATTTAATATTTATACCAGCATTTATTGAACCTATGATAAGAAAACGTGAGAATTTTCTTCTTCGATCATATTTTTCTAGTCAATGAAATTATTTTAAATTTTTGTAACATTTTATATATTATTTTAACATAAATAAAATAGATTAAATTTCTTCATTAAAATATAAATTCGTGACGTAATATCAGATTATTCAGATATCAAAATATCAAAAAAAAAAAATAGTTATGTTATAAAGTTTACATCTAAACATATGACTATGATGTTAATGTTACGTCACATAATTAAAATTAAAAATAATATAAATAATAATATGTAATAATTAAATAATAATAGATAAATTCCCATCTAATCATAGTCCTTCGTTGGGATTGGTCATAAAGTTGTAAAAAAACGCAATTAAATATTTTTTTTTTTTTTTTAAGATTAGTACCCCAAATTTAACGTTTCGGATAGAATATTTAATTCATAAATTTATTCCGATATCTCATATTAGGTTAGCGTTTAAAATCATGCAATCCGTCCGCCCGGTTATGGATATCCGAATATCCGGATGTCCGAAATGTTGGTGGAACATAAATAGTGCTGGCCGGAATTTACTGTCACGTGACTTAAGTTCGCAGGTTTAAAAATGGTTAAGACTATGTACACTAACGGATAAAATTTTTTTTAGCATCAAATTTCCCCAAAAGCTGGGAAAATTTTTAAGATTTTTTTTGAAACTTTATTTTATTTATTTTTTTTTGTTTATTATGAATTTAAGGAAAATATGATAAGTTTTATCATCATTATTTTATCTTTTATACGTTAAAAAAACTTAGAGATAATTTTTCTAATAAAAAATTTCAATATATAACCAAAATGTAGGGAGTTCTTTTTTTTAAATAAGTAATGATGGTAGATTGTTAAACAGAATTTTAAATTACTGTTAATAGTCTAACAGGTAACGGGATTATCCGTGAATGATCATGCATCCAGAAAAATAATTCGTTATCTGAGTTACAGATCGGATCGAGAACGGATTATCCGGATGAACGGGTTTCGGATCTCATCTTTAATTTAGTTATTATAAACAAAGTAAGATTCCGTGAAAATGAAAACGTAAACAATAATTAACATAACTTTAAAAAAATAAATATTGTTAAGTTAAGCTTGACAAGTTTTCATTAATAAACAAATCAATTTTTAATTTCAAATTGATTGTTTATCAAACACAATAAATTCTTTCATTGTTAAAAAAAAAAAACGATGATTAATCAAAATATAATATAATAAAGGATAAATTTACATTTGAAAATAGAAAAATGAGAACTGCAAGTTGAAAGTTTAAAACATGGGTTGCATTTTTCTTTTAAAAAAAAAAAATTTGGGCGTAAAAAAAAAAATTAAATTTTTTTTTTTCTATTACACATTTACATATATATGGCTAATCATACAGTTTCATAATCGTTACAAATCTACGAAATCTGCGNAAATTTTTTTTTTTCTATTACACATTTACATATATATGGCTAATCATACAGTTTCATAATCGTTACAAATCTACGAAATCTGCGTGTCCTCCTGACAAAAATCCCATATTTGCTGATCAAATCTTCACCGATATTCAGGTTACACATTATAATGGAAACGTAAATCATTTTCAATAACGATAAATATTAAAAAAAAAAAAAAATTAATAATTAGATTTATTATACACGATTCTTTTATTTGTTAGTACAAATGAAAATTTAAATTCCGCATTATCATTTGATATTTATAACTTTATTTCATTGAAGTAAACAAGTAACCGTTAAATAAAGGACTTATGCCCTATGGCAATCACCATCAAAGTTCAGTTCAACAAAGCAAAATATTGTATTACCATAACCTGTATGTTGTATACAATGCTACGGCATTATAAATATTTCTTATTTATCCCTAAGATCACATAAAAAATCATTTTATAAAATTTGAAAAAAAACAAAAATAAAAAAAATGAGTAACGGAATAGAAATCTCTCATAAAAATTGTTATGACCCATATGGAGAATTTAATACATTATGGTGTAAAGAATGCGTTCCTCGTCATATAATTGAAGGATGGACGAGCGAAAATCATGATATTGATGAATTTATTAAGGATACAATTTATAATGCAAAATATGATAAGAATGTTGATAATCATCCATTATTTCTTGAATGGGTACCATTTGATAGATTTGAAAATATAAAACAAATTGGCGAAGGTGGATTTTCAAAAGTATATTCCGCGACGTGGATCGATGGTAAAGCGAAATATATTAAACAAGATGATGGAACTTGGAAAAAAGGAGAACCTAAACCTATGACAATTGCTTTGAAAAAATTAAATGATTCTCAAAATATTTCGGCTGAATATTTAAAAGAGGTATATTTTATTTATATATATATTAAGAGAAAAGTAATTTATCGACCCGGTCGATCCCCACTTTTAAAATCCTATTTGTCACGTTATTTGTTACATGGCTCAATTTCTTAATGCCGTAATGCTGGCCAAAAATCAAAGTCGATATATCGACCGTTACAAAATCCATTTATTAATATAATTAATTAACTTTTATATCTTATAGACTAAAACACTTTGGAATATTTATTTTAATGATGACGAATCTTATTTAAATTTTTATGGAATCACCAAAGATCCAGAAACTAAAGAATTTATTATGATTGTACAATTAGCAAATCAAGGAAGTTTGAGACAGATTCTTTCAAATAATTTTAATAATCTTTTATGGAAGGATAAACTTAGAATCTTAGTTGATGTTACATATGACCTTAAAAGATTGCATAAACTAAGTTACTTTCATAAAGATTTTCATAGTGGAAACATATTACAGAATTATAGTGAAGATGATGACGTGAACTTTACCTATATTTCGGATTTTGGATTATCTGGGCCAGCAAATGAACGACAATCGGATGATAAAAAAACATGTGGAGTATTACCATATATTGCTCCAGAAGTTTTGAATGGAGAATCATGCACATTATCTTCCGATATTTATAGTTTTGGCGTAATTATGACAGAATTATCATCTGGAAAACCCCCCTTTTATGAAAAACAACATGACATCAGTTTGGTATTAGAAATATTTAATGGAATCAGACCGGAATTTGGAAAAGGAACCCCTGAAATTTATAAGAAATTAGCTTACAAATGTATGAATGCTAATCCCAATCAGAGGCCAACAGCTGAAGAATTAGAAGGATTACTTTTATTTTGGTATTATTCTCTTGATGATAGTAAGTATTATCAGGAAAGTGGAAAGTTTGGAAATAAAGGAAAAGAAGTTAAAGCTTTATTTGAAGAAGCTGATAAAGAGATACCGAATATTTCAACTTCATACGAAAAAAATCCTGATGCAATATATACTAGTAGAATATTCACATTTAGTAATTTACCAAACCCCATTAATTCATCTATTATTACTTCGTATTTTAACGAAGAAGGAGATAATAATGGTATTATTCTTTAAACTATTACTTTTATGACTTTTTGAGTATAATCATACAATTACTAATTTTTTATTGGTTTAATTATTTTGATTTAGGGATTCCTAACTAATTGGAAATGGAACGTAATTTATTATGTTTATTATTTATAGTATATACTGGTATTATACTAAATTTTGTTCATTTAAACAAATATATCATATCAATATTTTTTTAACATTTCAATTTATGATTTCTTATATATATGTATTTTTTATTATTTTATTAAATTATTATATTATATATCATATGTAACTTGATAAAATAACATTAAAGTGAGAAAAGTAACAATATGGCAAATTATATATTATAAACTATAAAATCAAGTGGTAATTATAAATCCAAATTTATATAAAAAATAAATCTTTCTATTACCCTCATGTAGTAGGGTGTCATGTTACGGCACAACTGAGAAATTAACTCGCCGTAATGACGTAAAATTTTCACAATTTGACATATACCGTAATGCCAACGCCGTATTATAATTCAAGAATTTCATCGAGGTCAGTAAAATCTATGTAAATATGATTCATCAATTTCGTTCCCCTATAAAAAAAAAAATTCTGGAAAAAACTCAGACACGTGATCATTTTTCCGAAAAATTTTTTTTAGAGTTCTTTTGATGAGCCAACATGTAAAATACGCATCTAATAACAAATATTGAGTGATTGTTTTATTGTTAAAATTGCATCAAAATACGCCAAATTAATAATATGTCATTTTTCGTGTTTTAAATTGATATTATATATACAATTGAATTTTTTTTTTTAAAAAAAAATCTCTCGTAAAATTTTTTCACGTTCCGTAAATTAAAATATTTAATAATGATATGTGCTGATAAAAAAATTTTTAAAGAAATACGTTTTTTTGAAATCATACATCGCTTTATTAAAATTACTTCAAGTCGCATATCACGCATATCATCAAATTTGCACCATATATACTATGTCGTCATATAAAAATTCGAAGATTTTTATATACGGAAGTAAAAATATGTAATAATATGAATTACGATCTTCAATAAGCATAAACTTGGTGAGATATAGAAATAATGATAGTTAAAAGATGTTTTAAAATTAATAAACTCAGAATTTTTGGGCAAAGTTAACATGGTAATATTAAAACTAGGCCATTAAATTACTTTCGGATTCCGAGTTATATACAGAATAGTAGTAAGGTGCATTTTTTTCAAGGTAGGAATTACGATCTTCATGATATTATTCTACGCCTATCTTTTTAAGAATAAATAAGCGTTGATTTTGCTTTAAAAACTTTAATAACTCTATTGAACCTTATATTAAATAAGTCTTCTATGATGACAAAGTGGCGAAATTAATGAAATTATTTTAAATAATCAATAATCGCACAAAATATTGAAGAACAAAGTGAACCACTTTGATAAATTTTGGGTTTACGATAATTTATTACAATAAATATTCAAAATTATGATTGATAAAGAATTGAAAATATTAGCGAGACATTCCTTTACATTTTTCTCATGTTTGTTCGGAGAAAAAATAGAGGTACTAGTTAGGATATACTGTATAACTTTTCGAAAATTAAACTGTCGCACAGACTTGTCCTGTTTGGTGATCCAGTCATACAAGAGTACATCAGCAAAATTCTTGGGCTGATTAATAATGGACTCGAAATATTCCACGATTTTTGTAACTACTTAATTTTTAATACACTCTGTCTCAACTTTCCTATAACTAGAAATTCTATTAGTGATTTGACATAATGGCTGATCAACTTGAGAAATTATTTTACACTTCGTATAAAAGTATCGAATATGCATTTGAGAATTTACGACAAATACAACCTTATCATTGTTTCAATAACTTGTTGAATTATAGCACAAATTGTATTCTTTTTTGATTACACTGAAATTTCATTTAAAAAACCTAAAAATAAAGCAGTGTTTTTTTATATTTTATAATGTTTCAATTTTTAGTTTAAATAAAAATAAATTTGCAGATGGCTTTATTAAATAAACTATTGGTCTAATTTTCTACGTCTAACTTTTACATTTTTAAATTTTTGCATTGTTCAAACACACTTCCCATTTATTTCAATTCTGAACAAAGATAGGGTGGCATCCTTTTCCACCTCCATTTTGTCGAACTCCAAACTTTCAATTGTGATAATTTCATCGTCATCACTTGGGTGCCTTTTTGTTTTATCGTTTACGTAAGACCGACGTAAACTTTTTTATTAAATTATCAATATTGGTCAACAAATATCGTATTTGCATTTTTGGACCCAAAGTGATGACGATGTGTAGCCAATAGTTGTAACGAAAATATCTAACGTTCCGGTAGATAATTCAACAATGTTCCCTGAAATAATTATTGACTTTAGTTGAGATCATTTAAGATTAAATTTCAAATAATTGTAAATACGTACAACAAATTGCCTAATATGAGAACTTTGTATTTTGTCTTTGGTGTAATTCTTACACTGCACCACGAACTTTATATTTCTATACTCGCCAATCAAATCCCACCATCTCCCGTTATTTGTCCGTTTTATAGCTTGTTTTGAAATAGATAGAATTAATGAGTGAATATTGTTGCCATATACATAGTAAGGCGTAGTAAGATTAGGGACGAACATTAAAAAAAATTTTTTTATTTGGTTTTGCTATACAATAAATAATTTGATAAATACTTCTTTTAAGCCAAAAATATAATAAATATGATAACTCACCTGATTATTAAAACATGCTACACACAATTAATTGAAATTAAATTGTGCGACAATATCTCTGGAAAATTGAATATAAATTCTGATAATATTGATAATATCCGTTATGGAATCTCACTTTGCGCAATAATTTCTGGATTTTTTTTTGTAAAATTGTAAGTATACAATCTTCTTTACAATCCTGATTATTAAAAATATTTTCCTCAAAACTCATTCCCGCACGACAACCCGGCTATGGATTGGAATCGATTTCATAATTAGAATTAATTTTAGAATCGACTAATCGCGAATAATCATTTCTCATTAAAACGTTTATTGCAGATCTGCAGTAACTCTGGCCAAGCTTATAATTCCGGCCGGAATTAAAACGTGTGTATTTAACGCAAAGATCCAACGTCACGTGATTTATAATTTCGTACTTCAGGCCGGCACTATAGGCTCGATTTTTTATTCGACAATCGGATCGGATTTTCGATTAATTCGATTTTGGCAGAATCGATTCCAATCCCTAAACCCGGCTTTCTCAAGATTTTTGACGTTACCTCTCCGACTCTCCCCAACAATTAATTCTTCTACCCTCAACTTCTGGTTCCATTAACTCTAACACTATTCCTAAGCAAATTTTTTCCACGTTCACATAATGAAACATTCTGAACAAAGGACTTTTGAAATGCACCGATGGTTATTCCAACATAATATATATGGACACCCCGTTGTATTTTTTTCATACATGGGAATCGTCTAAAGGAATTACTACCAAAATGAAATCTTCTCCCTCTCGTCGGCCTATCTCTCTATCTGCCACCTCTCCTAATAATACTCCTACACATTATTCTTTGGTGTGGTAGTTCTTGGATGGGACACGCGGATTTCTGCGCCGTTTAACAGTTCAGCCTCTTCATCTTAGGATTTCTTTCTGGTTTCTCTGTGGACTTGCTGAATAGTTGACTCACACTGACCAAATGGCAAAGTTTGGTATGCGACTTTGTTAATGATAATTTAGTTAGCTAGATTATAGTTTAGGTTTCTTTATTATTTGTATGAATCGGGAAGCTACTCTTTTTATCTTTATTTTATTTCTTTTTACTTTACGTAATTATGTTTGGATATGTATTTTATTGCAATTTAAATTCAATAAAAATAAAGTCAAAGACTGTTTGTCCATCAATGATCATCCCATACTTGAATCCAGGGTAGATGCACAACACGGGATTTTTGAGCTTCATTAGTGATAATTACAATCATCGTCAATCATTGCTCGTGAGGTGTGTACAACAATTTGATGATTTGCGCAATAGCACAAAATCTTATTGATTGTGAAACAACCGGAATTCCTTGATCTTTTTTCTCCGCCTACGCTTTGAACAATAAATTTTTTTTCCTGCTCTTAAAATTGATAACATAATTTAAATATTAAATATCAGATTAACGTAATAACAAAAGATTAAAATATTTAATAAGAACTTATTATATACATTAAATTAAAAAAAAATTAAAATTAATACCATTAATATACTTTTTATGCCTTCCCACTTTCACTTCACGTTTGAGATAAATTATTTTAATAAAGTATTAAATCATATCATACCTAATAAAGAAAATAAACTAATTCATTTTTTTCATTATTTTAACTAATCTGTAATATTCTTTTCTGTATTTCCTTGTCTAATATATCAGTTATTCATGTGAATATGAATTTAAAAATTATTTGAACATATATTTAAGTTTAAGAAGATTGGATACCAAAAGAGGACTTTCCGAAGACTGTTGTTACGCTTTTTTCTTCTAAAAATGATTATCTTTAAACAAAACCGATTGCTTTTTTAAATTTATCAACTAAGGATCAAAGCCAAATGGGGCTGCTTGGGGTGTACTGTGGGCGTGGATAGGTGAAAAATTACATAATTAAAAGTTTACCGATCAACGAATGCTAACCGTTAATATGATAACTGCGGATGATCATCATAACTTGAAACCTTTCATTAACGAGAAAAAAAAAGGAGTCATTCATTATATGCAGTTAGATTTTCCATAATTTCTTATCTGTTATTATAAATGATCCTAATTTGGTATCTTTAGGTAAGTGGAAGTCATACAAAGATTATACTAATTTACGCCATTCAGGTCAAAAATTTATTATAAAATCAACTTTACTCGCTAAAACAAACCATAATCACTAAAACCATGAAAAATTTTAAAACATTCATACATACTTTCTTTCTTTTCATTTTCCTTTTTTACCGTGTTGACGCAAAATGCGAAAAGATTACTAATAGTTTAAGGACGGATAACAACTGGAATTTTGATGATACTTTCTACTCATTTAGCGGTGGAAATATAACTTTTGTTCTGACTGAGTAAGTAAAAGACTAAATAAAAAATTCTTTTTATATAATTTTGTCGAAAAGTCGAATTTTATAAATTTGTTTAACCAGCCAATCATTAAATGGGATCTTCCAATATTTTTTATATATAGTATGCCTTGTGGCGCATCAGTTCTTTTGATTCAAGTTATTTCCCAAAATGGGGGAGGTAACTATTACGCACGCACCTTTACAAATAGCGATTTAAACGTTGTAAGATACATCGGTGTTAATGTTATTGCTGAAAAATACCGTCAATTTCGTATACAAGCTAAGGTTGATGACTTCGAAAACATTAATTGCCCTAATCCCAGTTTCAGTGGAGAACTTTGCTATTCTTTATATGTCGATACTCCTGACTGTGCAAAAGAAAAATCTATAGCAATTGGTGTGCCAATTGCAACCGCAATCATTGGAGCAATAGGGGGTATATTAGGAGTATTAATTAAACAATATTTCGACCACGCCTTAACAAACTCTGAATATGTTAGATTACCATAAGACGAATTTTTTCCCCTTCACTTATTTCACTTTTTTTTTGTGGTAAACGTTAAAACTTTATTTTTCATATGAAGAACATATAATACAAATTAAGTAAAACCTAAGTTTGGTTCATCTCCCGTAGATGAAGTAGCGACTTATTTTATTTTTATTTTCAATTTACTGTATACTGTAACTATATTAATTTTATCAGTATTTAATTATTATTTAAGATTTACAGTATATATAATAACAACTTTTTCCATCATCGCTGATATTTCATTATTCTTAAAAATAGAATTTGAAATACATAAGATATAAACAAAGCATTATTTCTTTAATGAGATACTAGATAGTTTATTCTAAAAATCGGAAATTTTAAGTCTTAAATAAAAATAAAATAATTTATTCTATTAATATAGAAATTATTTATTATGTCAATCTAAATTCTATATCTGATATCATTATCATTAGTTATTTACATTGAATTTCTAATTATAAATAATAAATTTGATAATTAATAGTTATTCGGCACGATAACTGTAAAACCATATCCCAATTTAATAAGCTACGTCACCGAATAAGTAATTTATACGGTATCACGTGATTTGAAAAATTTTGCGTCATGATACTACACGATTTTTTGACGTGATACTGGATAAAAATTATTATTTTCATAAAATCTAATATTTTTTAATTGGCTTTGTTTCGGTATCCAAAGATCGCTCATCTTGACACAAGACCAATAAATATAATCTCGAAAGCTCATTCTCCCGACAGTCCAAATTTTGGTATTATCTCGACAAAGTTATTATCCTAGAATGTTTTATTACATACAGCTTAATTTTATACTAAATATCATCATATTAATTAATCATTTTATTAAATTATCTTATTTTTTATTACTATATTGTATGATTTATTGTTATTAAAATAATTCAATTTATCTTTTTAATTTTATGTATCTTTATCATTTTTTGTTTAATAAATTAAACCATTGTATAATAATTTTTAAAAACAAGATAAAATTTCGTGTTCTTTAATGATTACAGTTATATAGAATCTTTATATAAAGTGAAAATTTTTTATCTATCTTTTTTTTTATTAAATATGAAGATTCTATATTGAAATTTAAAAAAAAAAGAAAATAAAATTCGAAACTAAATGATTGCAGAATTTTATAATGATTCGGATAATACCGAAAAAATTTTAAATTTGAATAAATTTGAATATCTTTCACTTTTAGAAATTGTGGGCATGTAACAGTTGTAACACATAATATTCATATCTTAAATTCTATATTTGCTACATTCGTATTAATCAATTGTTTATAATAAGTATGAAATTGTTATCACCACTTTCGGTTTAGTCACGTAATAGTAACAGAAAATATAACCTGTCTCTTATACACATCTAGATGTGTATAAGAGACAGCGTAATAGTAACAGAATAAAATGTAAATTAAACTTTTTTTAAAAAAAATAATGTATGTATGCGAAAAATGTATGCTTCATTTATTAATGATAAGATTATTTATAAAATAGAAATAAATAACAATGAAATAAACAATGAAATAAACGATAGAATAAATATAATAATAAGAATATATGACAATGATAAAACGAAAACCAATAATTGCTGACACAGCCGGCGAACTATCGAAATGTCAAACTAATTCTAAATCCATTCGTTTCTCTTCTTTATCGATTGCTGACGATATTTATAATTATTAATTTGATATAATTTATATTTTATGTAAGTTATATTTAATATAAGTCACATAAGATATAAGTTATATTAAATATAAGTTGCAGAAAATATAAGTTGTATCTTAATATAATTTAATCGGCACGTGACGCACGTCGGACAATTAGAATGCCGTGTGTTCCACATTATCGCCACGTGACCAACGATCTAATGCCGATCTTAGTATTTAAAATACGAGACTACTAGTTGCGGTGTGTATAATTTCTTTTGTGTTTTATATTATAGTTTTTAAAAAGATAAATAAATAATTTAAAATAAACAGATTTGTCATTTTTTTAAAAAACATTTTTTCATTTGAGATTTCCTTATATACATATTGTATATACAACCACCGAACCACGTACAAAAAAAAAAAATTTTTTGTCGAAAGATGATCATTGCTCAAACCACATAAAAAAATTTTTTTTTCTGCAAAAGGCTGAAATTTTACGTACAGCCATACATATTTACGCATGTGTTTAAAATAAAAAAAAACTCGATTAACTTTTTACAATAAAAAAAATTTTTTTTTTTCTGCAAGAGGCTGGAATTTTACGTACAATCATGCATATTTACGCATATGTTTCAAAATAAAAAAACTCAATTAACTTTTCACAATAAAAAAAAAATTTTTCTCTGCAGGCTGAAATTTTACGTACAGCCATACATATTTACTCACGTGCTTCAAATAATAATAAGTATATAATCGCAAATGGACGATATATAAAAAAAAATAATTTCTTTGGCAATAATTTATATATTTATAAGCGATTACCAAATGGATAACATTTCAGTAAAAATTAACGATGATGCTAACAAAATCGAAATCGATGTTGATAAAATTGAAATCGATGTTGATAAAAATGATGTTGATAAAATATTTACCTTCGATGATATCGATGATATAAATGATGATAAAATATTTACCTTCGATGATGAACGACATAATGGTAAACCTATTACTAGAATAGAAATATCACCAAATGGAAACTATCTTATTACTTATAGTGAAGAAGATCGTTCAATTGTCGGTTGGAATGTTGAAGATAAAGATAAGGTTCAACTTAAATTTGATAAAACTGTTAAAATTGATGAAGATAATCAAGATGAAATCAGAAGTTTATGTGTTTCTGATGATAAGAAACTATGTAGAATTTATAAGAAATCTAATTATTTGGGTAAGTAATATTATGTAATTATAAACTTATGGTAATTGATATTTATTTTAATATTTTTTTTTTTTTTATGTAGACAGTAAATTCGATATCATCGATATGAATAATAAAGATAAAGAAATTGCATTAAGTTTTGATGGAAAACTTTATGCAATCCTTTATTGTACCTTTAATTTAAAAGGTGAATTTATTTTATATAGATATAGTAAAGAAAAAACTCGTTTTAAATACCGTAAAATTATTTGGATTTATTCCACACAAACTAAAAATAACAAATGGGAATGTAAGAGATTTTACGAGATACCTAAAAATTATGAATTAATTAGTATATCAAAATATGATAAAGTTTACCTGTTTTCGTATTCAAATGATTACATTTATGAATGGAATATTAATACTGAAAAAAGTGTAAAAATATTTGATAATAATAAGGATAAGAATAAGGTAATAAATATTATAAAATTATTTTCCAACCAATTGATGTTAAATTATAATTAAATATATTAAATATCATTTATTTTTTAGATTAAAACGGAAAATATCAGAATATTCAGTAATGAAAAGTTTAATATTTTAAAAGTCAATGATAAAATCATTGTTTATTCAATCGAATTGGGAATTCCTATTGCTTCTTTGGATATAAATGATGGTAACCATTTTAATAAATTTTATTTATACGTTAATAATTACTCATATTAAATCACTATTTTTTTTATTTAGATATTCAACTTTATAATTTTATGAATTATACTGGTTTATTTCTTCCTTCTTTATTCTATTATACACCAGATAAAGAAATAAAATATTGCTGGAATAGTAAATACAAAAATTGGTTTAATAAACCTTTATTTGATGAACAAACTGACAAACCAACTGGTGAACCAACTGATGAACCAACTGATGAACAAACAAAGTTTGTGTTTGGAATTCTAAATGAACGTGTTTGGAAATCTAAATTTTACGAAAATATGTCAAAAACTAAAGTTATTGAATGTGAAACTTACAAACACTTAAATGTTCATTTATTTGATCCATATATGGATACTGTATCTACATTATTTCAAAAAGACACACGCGATAATAAAAAAAAATTAACTGAATCAATTGAAAATTTAATTAAATGGGAAATATATGCTGATTTTGGTAAAATTAGACTAGAAGTTTTCAAAAAAATTAATACTGAATGGGAATTAATTAGCACGAGAATTGAAAATCATCCTTATTTGTCTTATTATAATGGTGATTTAATTGCGAGCTCATTATTTAATAATAATGATATTGTTATATTGACAACATTAGGTATTTTTATTTATACTTTTAGTGAAAATAACAAATCTATTTCTTTAAACTATTTTTATTTTATGAATGCCGATTATTATAGCACTGTTGAGGAAATGTACAAAAAAATATTTTCAAAATCTACTTTGCCATTACCAAATTATGATAGTTTCAGATTAAATGGATGGGCTTCAGATGTAATAAATAATAAGTCAAGTCTTTTGAAATATGGAGTTGACTTATTAACATTTGCAATTAAAGAACATAAGTTAGAATTAATTGATGATATTTACAAAAAATGTATGACTTATTTTAAAGAGGATCCAATGAACAATAAGTCATTTTTAAGCATTATCACTTCTGCAATGCCATTACTAGATGAATATTATCCAGAATATATTCTAAAATATTCATCAGAAACGAATATGATAATAGATTCTTCTTTTTATAGTATAGAGCATCAAAATAAAAATTTACATCTTTATTCTTTTTTTCAATCTCCTCAAATAGCTAATTTATCGAAATCTCTTTTATGGACAAAATACTATTATAAATTTTATAAACTTGATCGCAAAACTAGAAAAACAAATTTATTTATTTTGTTAATTATATATTATGCTATTCAAGTTTTAATGTTACTTTTAACTTTACCCCTTTATTTGGCTACATTTTATATTTTATCAAAATACAATTTTATTAATAATATTTACACTCCAGATGCATTTTCTTTTATTTATTTTCGTACTGTTAAAGAATTTGAATACTACTTTCGAAAATATATAAAAGATATAACAACAACACCAACAATTATTTTTATGATTCCTTATATTAATTTTGTTAATTATTCAAAAGATTACAATTGGTTCTTAGAATTAATTAGACCTCAACCTAGTCCATTTACTAAAACAATAAATAGAAGTATCTATAAAACGTGGAATGGTGAAGCATTAATTAATTTTAAATGGAATGCTTATGGAAAATATTTTTATGCAATGATTTGGATTTTATTTATGGCTTTACTTGGATGCTTTACTGCTGCTGCAACAATTCCTAAGCAATATATTAATGAAGAAGTTAGACAACAACTTTTTATTGTTTCAATTATATTTGGATTTATTCATCTGATTTTAGAAATTCGTCAATTTTTTTACAATATTACTAAATGGTTCTACAATTTTTGGAATATTTTTGGTAAATATAAATGTTTAATTTAATCATTTACAATATTTTAAGAAAATGAAAATTAATTATATAATATTTTAATATTTTAGATATAATTGCTTATGTACTTTCAATTTACACTTCTATTTATTGGCTTCAAACAAATGATAAGAACAATAATAATTATCTAATTCAATTACTTTCTTTTTCATGCTTATTTTTGGATATAAAGTTTTTGTTATTTTTTAGAGCATTTGAATATTTTGGTGTATATTTTGCAATTATTATTAGTGTTGGAAAAAAGATTTTTTCTTTTTTATTAGTCTTATTCATTATTATAATAAGTTTTGCACATGCATTTTATATTTTATTATCACCAAGATCTGGATATTCACTTGAACAATATAATATAAATAGTGATGATCCAAATAATCCTTGGAAATTAGCTCCTAGTTATAATCAAATAATTGATAATGATGGAAATATAAACTCCAATCCATCTATGATTCAAACACCTGATAAAAATACAAATATGTTTATAGATATTAGAACTTCTCTTTTTGCTATGTATTTATTTTTAGCAGGTATGTTCAAAATTTTCATAATTATATAAAATTTGCAAAATATTTTTCTAATATTTTTAAGCAATTTTTCTTTCTTTCCTATCCAATAGGTGATTCAAGTGCATTATCCAATTGGGAATATACAGACAATCCATCAATTGCAATATTGATTATTTTGTTTTCTCTCTTAGTTGTTATATATCTTATGAACTTATTAATTGGATTACTCAATATGGAAATTGGAGAAGATAATAATAGAGTCTCATATTTGATACAGAAGGCAGAAGTAAATACTATTAATATTAATCATACTATTTTCTATAATATACTAATATTTCTCAATTTTATTTTTTAAAGATTTTGGCTGAGATTGAGTTATTTTACCTATTACCACATCAGAGACGTTGGCAAACATGGTTTCCTGAAGTAATGTATGTAATTTTGCTTTTTTTTTAAAAAAAAAAAATAATGTCATGACTTTATTAATTATTCAAATTTATTTTTCAAGACATTATTATGCTGATGTTGATAAGACTCGAATAGAAATTGAAAGATTGATTAAAGAGGATAAATGGGATACTAAGGAATTTGAGATGCATGAAAGATTATTAGAAAAACTTCAAATTAAATGTAATACTATTGACAATAAGGTGATGGAGAAATTATCAGCATTAGAAAAATTAGAAAAATCTTATCATGAGAAATTAGAGAAATTAGATAAGTTGGAAACATTAGAAAAATCTTATTGTGAGAAATTAGATAAGTTAGAAAAATTAGATAAGATTGAGAAATTATTGGAAGAAATGCATGCTAAATAATTTTTTATATTATTTTCGTTAGTTTTATAATATGATCACTGGAATTATGAATAATGTATTATTAAATCGACCAGTTTGTAATCAATTATAAGAAAATTACTAATATAGATTGAATAAATTTATTTAAATTTCCTGAATTATTAATTTGATTTTATTTATTTTTTTTTTAAAAAAAAAGATTGATAATATTGAAAATTTTTTATTAAATAAATGCAGTATTATTGATATAATTAATCTTACTAACATGATATGAAAATAAGTAAAAAAAATGATATGGAAAGTAAATCACGGCAGAGTAAGGGGAGTAAGGGGAGTAACGTAAATTGACCTAAAATAGTAATTTTACGTTACTTACTTAGCCAATTTCCGTTACTCACTTACTACCTGACGTATATTCATTCATTAATATTCCAAATGAATATATATCAGTTGCTTTTGTATACTGATATTCACGCAGAACTTCCGGAGCCATATAAAGTAATACATCATAAACTTCTTGTTGGTCGCTGATTGACACAATCCAAAATCGCTTATATATGGAATATTATCATATAGTATATTGCCTGCTGAATGAAGGTCTCTATGAATTTTTCCAGATTGTTAAATATGACCTCTTGGAATTTTCAATTTTTAGAAAATAATTTATATGTTTTTCAGATTGATTTATATAATCCCATCTTTAAAACCATCTAGCGTTACAAGGTTGACACCATTCCTTTCCTGCGCCAGACTCATTAAATTCAACACACATCCCATACATATACTACTTCTCTTTTTTTAAATCTTCTATGTAGGCTGTTTTTTCATCAACATCATCTGATTTGGCTAAAGAATTGGTAACATGAACCTTTCATTAAATAATTAATAATATATAATTAATATTAAAATTTTATATCATCCATTGTATTTCCACTTTTCAGGCCTTTGAGGTAATTCCCTTTAGGCTGGTGTGGCGTAATGAGACAATCATGAGACAATTGAGACATACTCAAGATCACGTCATATTGTCATAACAGATAAGGAGAAATATTTCTTTTTTTAAGAATGCATCAACATTGTGCGACAAAGGAAATACGCCAACTTAGTACTTTTTCTTTTTTTTTTGTTAAATTCATTGTCTTTTATTTAAAATGGTTTTCGCTCTTGCATATGATGCTAAGTACTAATAAAGATTCCATCTCACAAGCCTAGAGTAGTCCTCTTAAATACTGCAAACAGTTTATTAATAACATGTCAAAAGCTCAAAGAAGATTAAGCAAGATATTAACGATACTTATTAAAATTTTTAAGGAAATATTCTGATGAGTTTGCTGAAATAGAACTTAAAGATGAAAGAGGAATTAAATTATGCAAAATTATTGATAAAGGTATTTTATATATTAAATCATGTGTTGATTGGAATCATTTAAAGAAAATAAATTAGATTATGGATGTACTATGACTTTTAATGAAATTAAGAAGCAGATAAAAGAGCATTCATAATGAAAAATTGTGAATTGAAAGAAATTAGTGTAGAAGGATGTGAAAAAGGGTGGTCGAATTTAAGTTAACAGAAACAAACCTTCTTTGGCTTATATCAAAACACGATGGAAAATCGAATAAGCTAAGCCATTTTTCTAGAATGATACTATTATGAATGTAACTTAGTAAAATATATCGATTATATGTGCCATATTGTATAAGTTGCACAAAATTATATATTTGATTGAAAATAATATATGTATATACATTAATAATCAGTATGAATCAATTTGATTCAAAATTACGCATTGGACAATATATTAGAAATTTACAATTGAAACCGTACACATTATATATATTTACATCAAAAATTATTGTACTTGAAGATACAATGTCATGATAGTCCGTTGCCCGATTTGAAGAAAGAAAAATGTCATATAACTTTGAATCAGGATTATCCGAAGCACTTGAACAATTGTTTAAAATAGAAACGGATTATAATGTTATCATTCACATTGGAAAAGAACCTAATTTTAAGGAATTTCATGCTCATTCTAATATTTTACGCTGTAGGTCCGAATATTTTAATAAAATATTATCTTCTGAATGTATTGAAGGAGGGAAATACATAATTAAGGAACCAAATATCTCTCCTCAAGAATTTGACATTATTCTAAGGTGAATAAAGTAACTACGTTACAAAATTTTTTACAACCTTTTTTTTATATAAGTTGACTTACTATCCTCGTATTTTAGGTATATTTATACTGACAAAGTTGATATGGTCAATATAACTGGAACCAAGATTTTAAAGTTTATGATTATTTCTGATGGATTAATGTTGAATAAATTAACCAAATTTACTGAATATTTTATTGTTGAAAATTACCAACAATTCTTGCGAAATGATCCAGTCGGAATTCTTCAATCTCTTTATTATTGTAAAGCATTTGTTGATTTACAAGAGTTTTGTTTGAATAAAATTTGTTTTAAACCAGAAATTTTATTCAATTCTGATAAATTCAATCAATTACCTGCTCCTTTATTGGAAATTATTTTAAAACGTGATGATTTGAATTTAAATGAGATAGAAATTTGGGAATATTTAATTAAATGGGGATTAGCACAAGAAGAAATACTTAATCAAGACGTCTCTAAATGGAACAAGGATGATTTTAATATTTTTAGAAGTATTCTTTACAAGTTTATTCCTTTGATTAGATTTTATGAAATATCTAGTGAAGATTACTTTAATAAAGTTAAACCTTATGAAAAAGTTTTATCTAAAGAATTAAGAAATGATATTATAAAATTTTATATGATTCCTGGATTCAAACCAACATACACACCAAGAAATTCGAACTACTTGAAATGTAACATTGATTCTATTATAATTAATCAAAATCACATTGTACTTTTTATAAATTGGATTGATAGAAATAAGGAAAAATATGTTAATAATATTCCTTATGAATTTAAACTTTTATATAGAGCTAGCAGAGATGGAAATACAGCTGCAGCATTTCATGATAAATGTGATAATAAGGGAGCTACCATAGTTATAGTAAAAATTAAAAATTCAGAACAAATAGTTGGAGGATATAATCCACTTAGTTGGGATTCTAGTGGCATTGATAAATCTACAAAAGATAGCTTTATTTTTTCAATTGCAGATAAAAATAACCTTCAAAGTGCAAATGTATCTTATAGTAAAGGTAATATTTATTCTATACGAAATTTTTCATATTGTGGTCCACTTTTTGGTTGTAATGATTTAATTATAAATTATAATATTAGTTCTAATATTTGGTACCATAGTTCACAGAGATTTTCTTCTTATTTTACAATTAATTTACCAAAAAGTATGAATGTAGATGATTATGAAGTATTTCAAGTTATCAAAAAATAATACATAAATATATGATGATAAATAAAATTGAAATTATGCGGGCACTGAAAAAAATTATTTTTTTACTGATTGTTAAATTCACCATTACAAATTTAAACTCCAAAAAATTTTATCAATTTCTTTTATCCATCAAATCCATTATGTTTATTAAAAAATAATGTTCAGGATTCAAATTTAATAATATATTGTAAATCTATGATTAAAATAATTTAATGGCAATAGCTAACCGACATTAACATTAATAGTCTACTAAAGACTATGTATAGCATAATATTTTGATAAATCATTTTTCTTTAATTTACCAATTATAAAAGTAAATAGCGTCTATATTTTACTTTAATTCAACCAATCCCAATAATTCACTGATACATGAAACTATTAAAGAACTTGATGGTTGATTTTATTATCAAATTATATTACCATCATCCAAAAATATGCTCAATTTTATCATAATTTAATACTGCAATTTATCAATCATTTGAAATTTAACTATGTCATAATTTGAAAGTTGCATATTAAAACTAAGTTCATTATTTGGTTATATTATACTTCTTTAAAGTGTATATTTTGAAAACAAATCTTCCTAAAGATATGTAATAATTTGTTCGTAATAGTATGAAATATTTCATTTGCTGACATATAGAATTAATCCTTGGTTTCTCCAATAAAATTTCATATTATTAGCTCTTTATATGGTAAACTCTTGACAACTAAAGTTCATACTAAATTATTACACGAATTAATATAATTCTCAGTAATAATTTTATAATTAAAAAAGTATACTTAAACAATCCTTAGTAATTTCATAACTAAAATCGTCAATTAGACAATACTCTTCAAAAAATATTGTAATATAATAATATTAGCAATAGCTAATTTTAAACTCTAATTTACTAATTTTAAATGAAACATTGAAATACGTAATAATTTTTAATCAATGGTTATACAATTACTCAAGGTTATATTGAGTACACCATCAGAATATTTAAATTTTCAATAAAATTTATATGAAGTTTCCTCGAACAGAACTATTACATATGTAAGGTTAAAAGTTATCTAATAGAGGAAACGTATCATTAAATTTGAAAACTTTCAAAAGTTTGGAACTTTAGACAAGTCTCCATTTAAAAACATTTTTCTAGACTTGACACCTAAAGATTGTTATTTTGGAAAGAAAATTTATTCGGAATAGTAATTCTCCAGAATTTGGACATTAAATTAGTGAGACACTTTAAAGAGAATCTATTTCCAAAATTTGTAAATAATCAATTTATTTTATTCAGTTTAATCTTGATAACCAATTTTTGTAAACATAGTTCACTGAAAAGTAATCTAATTCATAATGATATTTCAATAAATAACTTTTTATTATAAATATTTAAAGAAATAAAAATCAAAACCAATATTTATAACTAATGATAAATAATAACCTAATAATTCCTAGTTTCATCATTTTATTTTAAGTACGATGACTTAAGATAATTGTTAGGCATTATAAAACTAATATAAATCATTATAAAAACAATATATGTCCAAAGGCCTACTTATATAAGATGCGTTGTATATGGGAGAGTACCAGCAGTAGATGACTTTTAATTAATATCATCTGCTTCTTTAACTTGTCCATAAATTACAGGATCCTCTTTATCAATATCACGATATAATTTCCATAATAAACCCTGTAATTCATCTGCATTGGGTTGTTTTAAAGGTCCTGCATCCCAACATTGATTCATTGTTAAAAATTAATTGAGGAATTTTATAATTAGATTTTGGCCTCAACCCATTACAAATTTTCACTTTTTTGAGTATATTTTTTCTTCTTAAAAATTCCGGAGCTGCATAAGGTAATACTCCATATATTGTTTTATTACTATTTTGAGAGGATTTGACGTTTGCCGGGTAACATAATCCTAAATTTGTAATAAAGGCACTATCATTAAAATCGCTCCTTAATGAAAATCATCATTAATTAATCTTTTAATATGAATAACTTTAAGACCAAATGCAATAGAATATAAACATTATAACTTTTGCTTCCAATTCAATGAAATAAAGTTGTTACTTAAATATTGTCTTAAACTACCATTTTTTAATTCCATCACCATTATAAAATCATTTGTTATTGGATCTTTAGTAATACCAAAACAACGAACTACACAATTAGAAATACGTAATAAAATATGTGATTCAACCTTAAAAAAAAATTATAGTTAGTTTAAACATTTATAAAGGTTAATGAAGATTTATAAGAAAATATCTTACTTCTTTAAAAAATTCTGTTGTAATTCCTCATGAGTTATGCAAACATTTAAAGCAACTTTTGTTCCACTTTTTCTTTTCCATTGATTATTATAATCCATTTCAACATAGGACAATCTTCAAATCCTCCTTTTGCTAAATATTCAACATCATCAAATTTATCATATTTAATCCACTCTATGATATTGTTTGAATTTTAGCTTTTAATTGTGCTTTTTGAATGAATTCGTCAACATCATTATAGGAAGCATTAGAAATGTTTCTTAAAAATAAAAAAAATTATTAAAAGTTTTGAAGTGAAGTAAACACTTCAAAACTTACCATTTCGTTAGAAGATTTTGGGAAGGGAAGGGAAAGGTGAAAGGTAAAGGTGAAAGGGGAGGGAAAGGAAAAAGTGAAGAGAAAAAGGGAAGAGAGAAGGTGAGAGAGGACCCAGAAATATATATAAAAGGGTCAGGTTTTAGTTTGCGTATTTTGAACTAAAAAAATCACGAAAATCTTTCCTTTTTTAGATAATTTCTGATAATGCCGGTCAGAATTTTATTTCCTATTATAGTATCTGACTGACATTATCATAATTCCGGCCCTGAAAAAATGCGTACAGCTCATAGTAAAAAATTTTATTCATCACCTGACCCCTATATATATATTTCTGGGTCCTGGTGAGAGCTTGTCCAATTTTTGAAATTTTGTTGAAAATATTTGGGTTACACGGCAAATGATTCATCAGTAATTATTTAGGATTATCGCCTGGGACCTCGATCACGTGACAAGATTTAATATTTTTGATTGGCCAGATTGGCCACATGATCGCGTCATGTTTTCTCAGTTTTTTCGGTCTCAAGGTATTTTTCTTTTCTTTTATTTTTATTTCTAACTTAGGCCACGCAAATTCAATTTTTCGGTTCACGTAACATTGAAATTTAAAATTGACCCGGGGACCCGGAGTTTATTGTTTATTAATAAAAAAACTCTTATACACATCTAGATTTGTATAAGAGACAGATTTAAAATTGACCCGGGGACCCGGAGTTTATTGTTTATTAATAAAAAAAGTTTATATATAAAATCGTGACATCTGATTGGTTGACTTTTAAAGGGAAAGATTTTATTTTCGCTCCAGAAGTTCTCAGCCACGTGATAAACTTACCCGCCAATAAAATTATGTATTGATCACGTGATAAACTTTTTATATATAAACTTTTTTTTATTGAAATTTGAAAAAGTGACCCGGCCGGGTGAAGTGAACTGAAAAATCGAATTTGTGTGGCCTTACATTCTGCTTACACTTTGTTTCTTACTACTCTATTATTTTTAGGTCCTTTAGTCCTTCCGGTTCTGCAATTAAGGTTCAGTTGCTTTTCACTTTACGTTTCATTTCTTTATTGTTTTATTTTTTTATTTCATATTTCAGTTTTCAATAATTTTATTTCATTTTTTTTTTAGATATTTTAGTTCTTTCGGTTCTACAATTAATAAAAATATGTTTTTTGTTTTTTATTTATTTTTTTTTATTTCGTTTCTATCTTATATTTTGTTCTTTACTAACTTCAACTTTATGGTTTTATTTTACTTGGTTTCTTATCAGATCATTTTTTATTTTTTGTATTACTTCTCATTATTCCATCCTTTCGTCATTATTTTCTATTACAACTTTTCATTTTCTATTATCTCTTTTTCTCTCCTGTTTACTTCCCATCATTTCCTTTTGCCTCTCATCACTCCTTTTCATCTTCCATCAACTCCTCTTCATCTTCCCATTGCTCCTTTTCGTCTTCCATCACTTCTTTTCATCTCCCATCACTAATTTTCGTCTCCCATCAGTCTCTCATCACTCATTATTGTCTCCCATCACTTCTTTTCATCTTTCATCACTCCTTTTTACCTCCCATCACTCCTTTTCATCTCTCATCATGTCCTATTTCTCCTTTTTGGTTCCTATCGCTTCTCATTACTCTTTTTCATCTTCTATTACTATCCATTAATACTCCATTGTTGTTTCATTTTTTTTATTAGCATCTTTCTCTTGATCATTGTAATTTACTTATCTTTATTATTTATTGTTATTGTTTTTTTATTTGTATTGCTTCATTAAAAATAAATACAGTGATTTTTTTCTTTAAAATCGTAAATGTGGTGACTTAAATTTTAATATTTGCAAATAAAAATAAAATTTCATTAAATAAGATTATTTTGTTTGCAAAAAAATTGTTTAAAGAATATCTTTGCAATAATATTTTAAGTTTAACACTTTAATCGATCAAAAGTAAAAAAAATCAGCCATCAGCCGATTTACTATATATTGTATAGCAGTAATTTTATTTATATAAAAGATAAAATATAATAAAAGTGTAATTTGGGTAAAATTTTATTATATTAAATATATTACTAAGGCCGTTCCAAATTAATAATTAGTTTAACGTCCTTTCCGGCCAAAAATTTTGAGGGGGGGGGAGGGGATAAAAAAACAAACATGAAAATTAAACATATTAAAAATTTCGGAAATTTTTGGTAAAATTGGAAATTCTCGGTACTATTAAATTTTAGTAAAGGAGGGGGTGTTTTAAGCATATTTAAACATATCAAACATATATGTTTAAATCACCCTTGAATTTTTCAAAAATAGAGGGGGGGGGAGGACGTTAAACTAAATATTAAATTGGAATGGCCTAAATATAATTTAAATTTTGTTATAAT